TCCCGGTCCCGATAGGTGTATTTTACGATTTAAGTATGAGGAAAGTTTGGAGTATATGCTGATTACACAGCACAGTTGCATCACGGAAGGGGAGCTTCCGTGGGAATCCGAGGGTGCGATAAGCTCCGATCGCTCGAATGAGGTGTTTGTTTTTGTGTGTTCCCATCGTTCTCGTGATGGTCGTTGTGGATACTGTGGTGCCGTTTTGGTGGAGCTTTTGCGCCAGTCGATTAGGGCCAAGAAGGGCGATGATGAAACCATTCACGTGTACCCGTGTTCCCACGTTGGAGGGCATATCTACGCTGGAAATGTCTTGATGTACACAAATCATGGAGGCATATGCTTTGGCTGCTTTACTGCAGCTCATGTGGATGCATTTGTGGATTTTCTTATGGGGGGCGTGGCGGAACTCCCGGCCTCGCTGCAGCAACGTGTTCGGGGCAGAATTGGCTACACAAAGGTAAACTCCAGGTGCTGCGTCATGTAGAATTTGCTTTGTCTTGTCTACGGCGCAGTGGGGAAATACAAACAAACAAGGGAAAGGAAGGCTTATATCGAAACAGAAGCAGCAGCGCCAAAGAAACGGAAGGCCATGCCACCTTCGCCGAAATGTATTACATCAGAACAAGAAAAATGAGGGGAGTGGGGCAAAAAAGGAAGACATGAAAAAAAAAAAAAAACGAAAAGGAACAAGCTTAATGCTTTGTTGTGGAAAGTAAGAACGAAGGGTTAGAGCGGGTAAAAAGTTTTTTGGGCGTAGCGTTTTTTGTTTGTTAGGCACAACCGGGAATTGCCATCTGGGTGCGCATTTGCTGCCGTGTGACAGCGTTTGACTGGGTTAGTTTTTTTTTTTTCTTTCCCAGACAATAAACGGTAAAAAAAAAAAAAAGCTGGACCCCTCATCAGTTCCTTGAACGGCTGCTAGTTCTTCAAATACATGCAAAGCCAAGAAGCAGTCGATTTCGTTACGCGTCTTTTACCCCTCTTCTCCGTTTCTTTGGAAGGTTCTCACTGAGGCCCTGTGCTTTTAATTTTTTCACAGCATACATATATATACATATATATATACATATATATATAGGGTGCGTTAAACGAGGTTTGAAACATGGCATCGGATGTCGTTTATCGCAAGCTGAACAAATATGAGTGGAGCGAAAGCACTCCTGTGAAGTTGGTTGCCCCGCAGTCTGGTGAAATTATAAAGGAGGTGCTTGGAGGCGCATTAGCATGCTTTGAAAAAAGGGCTTATCTTTGTGGCGGATATGACGCACGGACTGGTCGTAGCCTTTCACAGCTAGCTGAGTTTGATTTTTCTACAAAGCAATGGTCAAAAGGGCCCTCTTTGCCAGAAAAAATAAGAGACGCGGCTGCTGTCGCATTTGGGGAGTACTGTTTTGTGTTTGGTGGTTGGAATGACGAGAATTACAGCAAAAACTTTTGGATGCTTGCTCCAAAGAGCCCAGGAAATAACATGGCAAGTGCTAAGGAACCAATTATTAGCTCATGGAAATTGGTGCAACCCGCTGGATTAGGGCCATCGGCTCGGGTCTGTCATGCGATGGTGTTGGGTAACATGAGCGATGAAGAGGGTACGGCCCAGAATCCGGTGTTGTATCTTTTTGGTGGATTTGATGGTGAAAAAAGGTTGAATGATGTTTGGCGTCTGCGATTGAGTGCTTTGATTGAACAGGGCGTGGCAGCGTGGGAGTTAGTTGAGGTTAAAGGCGGGACTCCACCAGCACCGCGCGATGATGCTGCAGTCGCATTTGATTTGGCAGGCGAGAGACTGCTGGTTTTTGGCGGGTTTGCATCCTCCCTACAGAGCGATCTTCATTTCTTGTCGCTGCGCGGGGGAAAGAATGAATGGACGTGTCAGCTGTGCGTTAATGTTCCTTCCAGGCGTCAGGGTTGCGTGGCGGCGGTGTCGAACGGGCATCTATTGGTGTGTCTTGGAGAGGATGAGAAGGGCTCTTTGTCTCAAGTTCTTCAGCTTTCCTTGACGGAATTCAAGTGGTGCATGCTTCCCTTTGAAAAGGATGAGCTTGTGGGGCGTAGAGGCTGCGTTGGGTGCGTGGGTGAAAAAGGGAAACGCATTATAATCTTTGGTGGTGGGGTTCTGCCGAAGCTTCACTCAAGCCTTTTGGAGTTTGAACTGGAGAAGGCAGATGCAGGCAGTACAAGGAAGAAATGAGGACATTTGTATATATATATGATTATGTTTATTTAATCTCGTTTTCTTTGTCTTAAATACATGTTATTTGTGTGGCCTTTGAATGTAGATTATGCAACGAAATTCTTCTTTATGGATTTTTTTTTTGTGTGTGATTTTTTGCTTGTTTATGTCCAAAGTGGGTGATGCACGACGAGGGCCGTGGTGGTGGGATGGTCGGGATCTTTTTATTTACCGTTTGTATGGAAGGACATCGGCGCAATTTTGTGCCTTTTTTTTTTTTTTTTGGTTTTCTTTGCCCTCAATTTCCTCGTTTTTTTTTTTTTTTTTTTTTTTTTTGCTGCACCCATGCATGCGTGGAGCGGGTAAGGTAGCGCACTACTGTTGGGTTTCACACACACACACACACACACACACACCGAAGGCCTCAAAGAGCTGAACAGAGAAAAAAACA